GGATGAGGATGAGGATGAGGATGAGGATGAGGATGAGGATGAGGATGAGGATGAGGATGATGAGGATGATGCTTTGGACATACTGAATCTCCTGGATAGGATCCTAACTTAATCAGATGTATATGAATAAAATCTGTACCTTTCCTGAAAATTGAGACAGGATCTGCCATGCAGTTCTAATCTCCTTCTATTTACTGATTGGACCGTATGACTTATAACATCTACACATTTTTTTCCTTGCTACAACAGTCATAGACACAATATGGTGAATTTCCAGAAAAGAAGATTTAATCTATTTTTAATCTTTTTATTGAATGTTCCACTTTGGTTTTCTCCCTTTGTTCCAACCCATCAAAACAAAACAAAAAATAAACAAACACCTCCAAATAATACAAAAGAATTAAATCATTTATTTGAATAGAAAAGGAAAGTATCATTAAAAAATGGATCCCATCAATATGCCAATGGATACAATATTCTCCTTACACCTCAGAGGTGGACCAATCTCCAAATGCTTCAAGAGAAAATGGGCATGCACGATGGGAGGCAACATATCCAAACATGAATATGCATGTAAGCACATGCATGCCTGGATAGTTGTCTTCATCACACAGGAATGAAAAGGTCCAAGTTTCCCATCCCTGCACATTTTCGGCTTAAGCGAAAAATTTGTTGCGAATGTAGACATCCTAGAAACTGTGAATAAGTAGAATGAGCCTTCTCTTTCAGTCCAGCTCTCCAACAGAACCACCCTTCTTATTTTTGGTAAGCAGGTTTTGTTTTCCTATTTTAAACATGGACTCAGCGAGGAGGTGCCTGCTGGCAAATATTCAGAAGCTGGCCTACAAAGCCATGTGCTAACTCTTGGATTTTTTTTTTATTTTTAAGTGGCTGCTTATGTAAGATTTTGAGGAGTAGCTTTCTGAGCTAGAACAAGAGCCAGAATGTCTGTGAGCCTAGTTGGAGTCCAATTATGTTCTGCAGCCTTAGTAAGAGGACAGCCTAGTGGACCATGACTGGCCTTGGTCCAACTGGCATCAGATATAAGACAGGGAACCTGGGAAGAGGTCTTCTTCGTAGCAGCCCCTGCTTATGGCATTCTCTATCCTGGAAGAGTAGCTTAAATGCCCATTTTTGCACTTTTGTGTCAAGGTGTTTTTTTTTGGTAATTTCATGAGGAGTAGAGTGGGAGCAAATCAGTACACTGGCATGAGACCATATGACTTTTTGGGAAGTGGGAGGTAGCTGTCTTATATTAATGCAAGGAGCCTAAGAGGTTTTCTTTACACTTCCTTTATAAACAAAGCAAATCAATCTTTGAGGTCCTCTAATTTGACCATGTTGGCTGTGATAATGGGAGATGCATTCAACACATATGAAGGGCACCAGCCTGGAAACCCATGCAAGACCATCTTGTATAAATTATCATTATCCTGTATCTTTCTGGTGGTAGCTGAAGAGCTGCTATATCCCCTCTGGCTTTGAAAATCCTCTTCCAATGTTGCCTTTGTGCTGTCATTTTAAGTGACATTTTGTTCTGTACAGTATATTCTTATTGCTGTTGATATATGGGTGAGCGTTCCTTCATTTTTGTCATTCAGTTACTCCTGGCAGAATTATGTCCTTCAGATCACAAAGAATCAGAAATGACTGAACAACTGAAACAACAAAGCCAGTTTGGCACAACTAGCAGAGAAGAGCAGGATATAAATAACTATACTGCTGGATCAGATCAAAATTCTATATAGCCTACTCTTGGGCTTCCCACAGTGGCCCATCAGCTGCTTCCCAGAAGCACACAAAGAGGGCTCAGATGCAATCCCTTCCCATTTGTCCCAGTGGTGCAATTTTGTGTCTGAGCCCTAGAAAAGATGGTTCCATTTCTCAGTGATCAGAGCTGCTGTTTCTCATCTTACATCCTGTGGCAATGAACTCCACTAAGTCATGGAAATAATGTGTGCAAAAAACAAAACAAAAAAAACCTTCATTTTTTGTTTACTCTGATCCCACTATTTCTGGAATATCCTGGTATCTTTGTGCTTACGCTTGTATTTATAGATAGTTTTAATTGATGTGCTCAAAAGTGCTAGGTCAGCTGCTAGGCTTCATCAAATGATAGGAAGATGAGGCCTACTAAAATCTAATTTTCACCTAGCTGATTAGCTTGCTTTTAGACCATACAGATTGAGAATGGCAAGAAGCAGAACAGCTGTTCAAGTCTTACAAAGGCCATTGCCTGGGCTGAGCCCCATTGCCAACCCCTGCATTCTAGATTGGAATTCTGAAGTTGGCTTGAGAAACACCATCAATGTGGGACACCAGCTGCTTAAACTGCAGTATAAAATTGACCCTGATTAGTCCAGTCTAGAAACCAAATCTCACAATAAGCAGGCCTTAGCCATAGAAGCAAACCAACAACTGTATCCAAACATTACCCGCATCCCACTGACAAAAACTAAACTGAAATGGTTTTATAGATAGTATTTCATACTTTCTGTCTAGTTTTCAACATCCTGGATAGCTCCTCTCCACTAGAGACTGGTCTTTCTTCTTTGTAGCAACATGGATTCTTCATCTCTGTCATTATTCAATTTGAATAGGGCCAAAAGGCTTCGCTAATTGTTTTCAGCTATATTTCTCCTGTACTGTTCTCAGTTATGGAGCCTCCAAGTTACCACATGGTTTAGGATAATTTTGTTCTAACCATTGAAAAGAGGGGATGCTTCTGCCTGTATGAGTTAGATTTGGATGTTGTCTACTTCCTGTCCTGGGCAGCCTCATTGTTCTTATTCTCCGCCTGTCTGCAAAGCCTTCTGGGACACCATCTTTACTGGCACCACAGCCCAGTCATATTAGATCAGTGGAAGAGCACCTGCTTTCTCTCTTCTCCCTCCTCGTGCCTCACTCCCAACCAGGCATCAGGAGCTTTTTCTTCTAGGTCTTGAAGATATCTCCCATCACATGCACTTCCTGTGCCCATTCTGCCTCCCCACCCCCATCCTAACAAAGTGAGAAGCGGCGGGAATTGATGTTCATTTTTGTCACACCAATGAGCTTGAGTGGAGTGGAGAGGCTGAAGGAGGACGTGAGGGGGCAATCACAGAGGAGGTCAGAGAGCTCGTCCCTCTCTTCCAGCTCGTAGGTGGCATCATTCAGCATCCGCCGGTGGAGGTGGCACGTCTGCTCAATCTTGAGTTTGTTGATATCGCTGCGCAGGTGCATGAGCTGCCGAGCCAGCTGCTGGTCCTGGAGACGCATTTCTACCTGGAACACAAAGAGGGAAGGGCGTGACATGATGGCAGAGGAGCATCACACGCAGGAGGAGATGCAGAGGTTTCAGATTGCAACTTATACCTCTTTTGACAGAAATAAAATGGCCTTTTCATTGTCACTGCTGCCATAATTAAAATTCCCTACATACAGGTCTAGGAAAGCCTTTGGCCCGAGTCCCCTGACATGTTCCTGCTTCAAGACAGGTAAACCATTAATATAATTAATTTAGGACTTGTTTAGAATGGGTATATCTGCAAAATGGGACCTGAGAAACACACGTAGTAGGACCAAGCAATAACCTTAACTATGAGTAGCCATGTAGTAAGGATCACATCTCATGGTCAAGTGAGATGTGCATATAAAGAATGCACATTTGCTAAGTGCCTAAAGACACCCAAACACATACAGACACTTAAATTATTCCAGTACAGCAGTATCTGCATTGGGGTATGTGTGTGTTTGTGTGTGTATGTGTGTGTGTGTGTGTTTCAAAAAAACTAGGATGGCAATTGCAGCAACATGACCAAACCCGGGGCCATTTTGTATATGTTATGTTACGTGCACGTAAAAGGGGTGAGGCTTCAATGGCTTTGCCATGACCACTATTTTAACATTTCTAACCTCCCTGCAGATACTGCTGCCCCCATATATATAATCTGAAAGATATATTTTCTGTGCTGCTTAATCCCATGGACAACAAACCATAAACATTTAGAAGTATCTTAATGCTAGCTTTAATTAATTAATTAAACAAAACCAACCATTGAAGAGGTCACCCTTCTACAAAGTTCTATCCTACCCAAACACCTTCATAAAACTCTGGATAATGGTGATTGCAATACTGTATACACATTACAATATTTGGTTTACAAGTGTACTATTTACCTCCGTTGGACGTCTGTCACCTAGTGGCCACCAATGGTAGTTATTGATGGATTTAATTGCTGTTCCTGTTGCCTCTTTCACATAATCCCAGTCTTTCCCCATAGCTGAAACTTTGGAGAAGTTTTTGGGAAATATTACTTTACTGAGGGCACTTATGTGCATTTCCCAAATGCTGTTCCTGAAACTATTTGAACAATGCACATTAATATCAGTAAAGATATATTTTCCAAAACGTGTCAGGCCAGCGGTAGAATAATTTTTACTGGTGCCTGGGAAACTCTCCCTTTCGTTTTGCCTGTGCCTGCCCTTGCTCTGGGAAACTCTTGGCAAAGATGACAGAGAGGATGACAGAGATAAACAAAAAGGGTCTCATGCACAATTGCCAAAGATCCAAAAGAAAATCAATTAAAAGACAATGAACAGCGAAGTTTTTCAGGACAGGGATGCAACTGAGTGGATGGGGCTAATACAAATCTGATTGCATTGACTTGATTAAAATTAAATAACCTTGAATAAATATAATTAATATGATTAAAACTGATGTATTTATTTCCCTCTTCTGTCAATAAAAATTCCTTGGCAGAAAAATTTGGAGACATTCTCAGGACAGGGAAGGGCCCTTGGCACCATGGAACTGTAAGATTATGCACCCTGCTTTTAAAAATCAAATATCTTCTTATCTCTCTTCATCTAAGGAATCTTTCCTGAGTTAGAAAGACAGAAAGAGATCAGAGAAGATGATCCTTCCCTGAGAAAAAAGATAGAGACTACAGTTATTGCAGTTCACAACAGAAAGTGACTATTTTGTTTGCACGATCAGATTCTAGGTGGCCAACAATGTTTAATTTGCCCTTCACAGAGGGAAAGTCTACCAAGGTCTGCCAGTCACAAGAATGGTGGCAAAGGGTTCAGACAGGTCTTTGTCTTATAAAGTGGTACATTATGGTGATTGTAAATGATTAATCTAACTTTTCTTTAACTGCTACCCTCCACATATGTTGGAAATAAAACTCTCAGAATTGACCATGTTAGCTGAGAGTTCTCAGAACTGTAGTTCCAGTTCATCTGGAGGAAAGATGATTTATTCATGTCATTTGGTCATCTTTATTGGCTTGGTTGATGTTTCCTGCCTGCCTTGCCTTTAAAGATATCTTTAATTCATATTCTTCCAATTTAGTTCTGTATTTTCCCTGAGCACCATTTATTATAAAACCAGTATGAGAGTTGATTCTCAGATTGATAAAGGTTCTGGAAACTGTTATGTAAGTAGCCAGTTGCAATCTTCCCCATGATCAGTGAAGAGACCTGACTCCACAGCAGATCACAAGCAGGCTATTAGGGAAAAAAATTAGAAAGTCTCCATCTTAACATACATGGCTATATATTGGTTCTAAACTGAAAATAGTTCAGTTGCTGGAATACTTTAACCCCAAGCTATTCATCTTAATACATCTTGCTAAGGAGAACTTCGTGAGAATCTTGCTTGGAAAAGAATCATTTTTAGTTTTAGGTGGCTGCTAAAGAATCTGATAACTGGGTTAGAGATTTAACAAATAATAAATAAATATAATTACATAGAAGCATGTTTCAAAGACAGTCTCGTGAAATGCTAAACATAATTAGTTTGGTAGCTATCCTTTTTTCTTGCTATTAACTGGTCGCTGTTAAAAGCAGAATGTCAAATTAGATCAACGTTGATCTATACTGTCAAGCCATTTCTGTGTCTTGGAGGCTTTACAACATGGTTTTTATTTTTAGATCTTTTTTACTGTTTTTCCCCCCTTTTCTTATAAGGATCCCCAGCTATAGTTCAATAGCATCAAACTTTTCCCAGGGAGATAAAGCTACTTGCTGTCAAGCATTTTCTGCTTTCAGGGTGAGAAGAGACTTTTTTGTGTTCTTGTAAAATAAAAATGGAGAGATTGAAAGTGGGAGGGAAGAGACTGGCATTTTGCTGATAAAGGGCATGAGAGAAAGCTCGGGATGGTTGACAGAAGAATTACATGGACAATGAGGAGAAAGGTGGCATTGCTGGATCTTATTCCATGTTCAGTACTTGTGTTTAGTTTCTGGTAGCCTGGATAACTAGCAAGCTTCTTGCATAGCAAAATCTTCTTTGGGAATGCAGAAATATCCAGGGGTAGAAAAATAATGGCTCAAACTCCACAGGAATATATTGTAGATCTCTGAAGGTGGCTAATGTATAACATCTTCTCTGATCTCTTTCTAACTCAGGAAAGATTCCTTAGATGAAGAGATGTAAGAAGAAGCAGAATGAACGCACCCCCTTGTTTCCTTTTCATTCCTTTTCCTTGCTACCGTTTTTTCCAGATCAACTTCTTCCTCTGCTTGTATGATCTAGAGTGCTTCCGACAGACAGTTCCTGGCATTCTCAGTCAAAAGCCTTTATACTGTATAAGCTATTCTATCTTTCTCTAGTAAGAAGATGGAAGCAGTGATGAGAAAGCATGGGAGGATTTCATGTTGAAAATTTCATTGTCTGGACACCCCTCCCCTGATAAAATTCTATTGAATGGAAGGAGCAAAGCTTCTCCCAGAAACAGCCTATGCTAAACACTACCCAGTCAAACTTAAGTAATCTTTCTGTATCCCATTGATTTCTACGTGAGGAGTTAAACATCTCCTCCTATGATTAACACCTTTTCAAAGTACCTAATTTCTTATGGAACAAGATATTCACAGCGGAGATGTACTAAGTTGCTTCTGTTGCACTGATTGATGCTACGGGAAATAGGAAGACGAGATCTAGTCCCCTGACCCAATCAAACTGCATGAAAATAAAATGGAGAACAAGCTTATATGAGTGTTTGTGTTGTTTTTCTTTATCCTTAACATTCAGTCTAGTGCACTTTTACATGAGAAGAACTGATTGCTAAACTGAAACGATGTTTGTCCAGTACAGCTAATTTTATTCATTGTTTAATGTAATACATTTGCTAGATTGATAGCCTTGCCTGTCATCCAAGAGCTTCAGACGTTGCACGTAATGTTCCTCCAACTTTTTCTCACAACTCTTTGGTGCAATCGGACGAAGAGAGTGCCTGACCTTAAGTCACCCAGTGAACTTTCATAATTGAGGGTAGATCTGAACTTGGGTCTCTCCAGTTCCAACTCAGCTGCACAAAATTACATTCTAAATGTTTTTATCAGGCATCAGGAGAACACTATGGCAGTAACCCTGTTCCTAGGTTTTCCCTACAGCATCTGGTATTCAAAGATGCTCCTCTTTTAAACATGTACATTCTATTTAGCTCCAATGACTTAAAGGAATTAGCTTCCTTTCTTCTATTAATTTTTCCCCAGTCAGCTGTTTAAAGTTGTCTCCATGATGACTATATCCTCATTTTGAGACCACAGCGTAATGCTGAGTACACTTGCTAGGGAGTAAGCCCCTGCTCGCCATGAGACTGCTGTCAACATATAGGATTGCATAGCACTTTATATACTATGAGAACTTCTTTCTGTAGTTTGTACTGCATCTGTTTTGCTGGGTGGCTCCAAGTTCAAGGAAGAAAAGTAATAAACATACCTATTTCCCTCTATTTTTTCTGTCTCTTTCTTTCTAGTTTTTCTAGGCTATATTTAATTTGGCAGAACTCTATTATGACTTCTCACCCCATCTGGGCAGTAATCACCACTTTAAAAAAAAGAAAAGAAAAAGAAAAAGAAAATGACCTTTGGAGCTATTGGGATATGATTCTGCAATGCATTAGCTCTTTTTTAAAAATAACTCTAAGATGTGGCCTTGGTCATTTCTCTATCTCACTGATTCCAGGATTAAGGCCATTGTAATCTCAGACCCAGTGCTTCCCTTCAGCTTTACAGCATCATCTCTCATCTTGGGATGCAGAACAGTTGTATATGCTGTACGCAGAAATTCAAAAGTATTTTGCTTATTCTTCCTCTTTTTTCCCAGTTCAGCTAATGGCCCTACTAAGCATTTCCGTCAAAATTAGGGAAGCTAGCATTTTAATCACAATCTCTATGTCCTATCTGATGATCAAGTGGTCATGTACCATTGTGGTAGATATTATCATCTATAGGTATTCAGAGAAATAATATTGCTGAAGAGGTAGAAGGCATTTTTGCTCAGGCAGGAATAGCTGTTCACTCCTGGAATTGGGTGGTTTTATTAAAGCTGTATGAACAGATTTCTCCTTCCCATCTGGAGTGGGGAAGTTCATGGTGGGATGCAATCTATTAATTCATCGGCCTGAAGCATCACTGTATATGAATGTCTTACCATGCTGCTATACTGCCCACCAGGTGATTAAAAGCAGCACTCGGATAATGGAAGAAAAGAGAAATATGCCTTAACAAAATGAAGTTTCTCCTTGACTGTTTCACATGGGTCCAAATAATATCTTCCCCCACTTCCTCATTTTCTAAAAAAAAAAAAAAATCTAAGGAAGGCATATGCCTGTGTATCCTTCTCTTGCTTTTCGGTAACGTGAATACTGAGCCACATAACGCATGTAAGCTACAGTGGGTCCATTAAAATATATCCCTTGTCCAAACCATCTGAAAGTCAATCAAGTCTGTAGAATGAGGGCAGCTACATACAGTAAATACTGCCATGGTCTGCCTCACAACTATGATTCTCCCACTGATGCCTTGTTGAAGACATCTTCATCTGAAGACTATTAATCTTCCAGAAGCCTTGTAAAACCATATAGAAGGCTGCCTTATGCCTTTGGGGAAGGAGTCAAAAGAGAAGCAGAACTAGAAGAAAGAGGAAAGGAAAGGACAGAAAGGCTTTTTAAAATCATTATTGTGGAGTCCTTGGGGTTCTCTGAGCTTGGTTCTTTTCTTGCAAACGTTTCATTACCCGGCTGGGTAACATCTAATATCTAATAGGTAATAGGTTACCTAGCCAGGT